GCCTCAATTCAGCAGGAAGTAGCTAGGTCAGTCGTCACCCCAAATCCCTCAAGAATGAGGAATGACCAAAGAATAGGGGGATTGAAACCGGCAAACAGATAGTCATTGATTATTAAGTAGCTAGGAACTAAAGGTTTTTATCCTTTTTGCAATTACTGATTATAGCTTTTAGCTGTTTAGACCACCCATTGTTAACTGTGCTGCTTAGACACTATGCTATCTGACTCCCACTAGGCCCCTGTAGATAACATCTCCCTGGACCCTGGGTCACCATGGTAAGCGGTGTGCTCCTTCAGGTGAATTGGTGAGCTGTTCTTCAGGAATTAGAACCCCTTTGTCCACTCCAGGCCAGTTGAGACCACCAACTCAGCAACTGGGCCCCCACAGACATTCAATAAGCAACCTTTTGATGGCAAGAGACTAAAAATTCCACAGTCAGATCATGCTCACACCGCCGTTTTGTGAGCATGCCTCCTGTGAAGAGGCATGGAGTCTGGCTACGTTTGCACAGATAATCAATTACCTCACCTTTTCTCACTTCCAATCACCTAGCTCCACATTTCAGAGCACTTTGCCCCCCTAATCCATAAATATCCATGAGCCCCAATTTTCAGGGAAGCAGACTTGAGACTCATGCTCTTGCTTCCTCACATGGCTGCTTTGTGATTAAACCCCCTCTCTGCTGCAATCTCATTGTCTTGGTGTTTGGCTTTCCAGGCGGCGGGGAAAAACAAGCTTGGTGCAGTAACAATTTCACACTCTTTAGACTAGCAGAAAATTACTAAGTCTGATGGTGCCAAGTGTGGCCATGATGAGGAACAATGGGGACTTTCACCTGCTGCCGGTGGGAGTCGGGAAGGTCCAGGGTTAGCCTGAAGCTTATAAAATTTGGGGGCTTTCTTTATAAAAGGATAAAAAAGGAGTCTGGGTCTTGGAAGGGGCCTGAGCAAGTGGGGGTCCTGAGCTCAATTAAGCTTCATAAGCTTCCCAGTGACTCTGCTCCTGGGCTGTGTAAATTGGAATAACTCTTTTGGACAGCAATGTGGTAACAGCTGGGAAGATGAAGATGTGCATTCCCTATTACCCAGTGAGTCCAATCCTCTGTGTGTCCCCCAAGAAATTCCCAATATGTAACCACAGAGGCCAATACAAGAATGTGCTTTAGCAATGCCGTCTGCAACAGCAAAAAGCCACACCTGGAAATAGGAAAAATGTCCATCATCAGAAGAATGGACAAACAGCATCAATGTATATAAACCTCCACACCATTGCATGGAAAGCTCGCTGCAGAAGGACATGACAGGACGACACTATTTCCATGAAGTGTGAAAACACAGAAAACAGAGCCTCGTGGAGCTCACAGGCAGCCAGGGTGCAGGGAAGGGCTGACCCTGCCTGGGTGTCAGGACCACCATGTCCAGCCTGGGGCTCCTGAGGATAGAGGGAGGGGAGTAAGACAGTGGCACATCCAGGGCTTAGAAGCCACCTGAAAAGATTATTTCCCTCGTACTAAAAGTCAATAAAGCAAAATACTAAGATTTGACAAAGCTGAGTGATAATTACATGGGTGCCTATTAAAGTATTATACATACTTTTCTGTAACATTTGGAATATTTGTTATTGTTTTCTAAAATATTAGTGAAGTCCGCATAACATAAAATAAACCATTTTACACTGACCAGTTCAATGGCACTTAATACGTTTTTGATGGTGTGCAACCACCAGCTCCATGTAATCTCAAACATTTTCATACCCCAAAAAGAAATCCCATACCCATTAAGCAGTTGTTCCCCATTTCCTCTCCCCTCAGCCCCTGGCAAACCACCAGTTTGTGTTCTATCTCTGTGGATTTACCCATTCAGGATATTTTATATAAAGGGAATCAATATGTGACCCTCATGTCAGGCTTCTTTTTCTTTTTTTTTGCATGGGAAGATTCACCCCAAGCTAACATCTGTTGCCAATCTTCCTCCTTTTTTTTTCCTTCCTTTTCTCCCCACTCCCCTACCACTCCAAAAGCCCTAGTACATAGCTGTGTATAGCTGTAAGTTCTGGTTCTTCTATATGAGCCACCACCACAGCATGGCTACTGACAGACAAGTGGTGTGGTTCCACACCCAGGAACTGAACTCAAGCCGCTGGAGCAGAGCACATCGAACTTTAACTGGTAGGCCATCAGGGCTGGCTCTGTGTCTGGCTTCCTTTACTCAGCACAGTGTTTCCAACGTTGTGGAATGTCTTAGTACTTCATCCCTTTCTATGGCTGCATAGTATTCCATTGGGTGAATATATCACAGTTCGTCCATTCATCTGCTGATGGGACATTTTGGTTGTTTCCACCTGTCAGTTACTGTGAATAGAGCTGCTATGAACACACATGTGCATGCCCCTATTCAGGTCCCTGTTTTCAATTCTTCTGGTTATAAATCTAGGTGTGGAATTGCTGGGTCATATGGTGCTTGTTTTGAGAAACCTCCAAACTGATTTCAACAGTGGATGAACCATTTCACATTCCCACCAGCAATGTGTGAGGGTTCCAACTGCTCCACATCCTAGCCCACACTTGCTATTTTCCAGTTTTTTGATAACAGTCATTTGAAATGGTACCTCACTGTGGTTTTGATTTCATCTTGCTAATGACTAATGATATTGAGTATCTTTTCTTATGCTTATTGGCCATTAATATATCTTCTTTGGAAAAATGTCTATTCAAGTCCTTTGCCCATTTTCTAACTGGCTTCTTTATCTTTTTGTTGTTGTGTTGTAATGGTCCATAATTAAAAAACCTCTCCCAGGGCGGCCAGCACCTCCTTGGGCCCTTTCATTCTCTGCTCTTTCATACAACAAACCACATCCAGCTTCGTATGTACAAAGTGTGCAGAGGAAACTTAAAGGACTGGTGTCTGCCTTCTTTCCTGTTCTCCCTGCTCCCTGGGAGCCACCTGCAATCTAGAGAGGAAGAGAGAGTTTGGAGGTGACAGCTGAGGTGCCCAGCATCTCTCAGGAAGTGGAGGTGGGGTCAGCATCTGGGGAGCAGGGACTGCGGTAGAGGAGTAAAAACAACTTCTAAGACAGCAGAGAGGGAAATGGTCTGGACAAGGCAAAATTATCTCTTCTAAAAGCCCCTGCTATGATAGGTCACAAAACCACCCTGGAGGAGAAAGTTTCCACTAACCCAGGGCTCTGAGATTTCCCACCCCCTGCTGTCTCCTTTCACTTAGTGGGATTTTGGGGATCCTCCTGTTCCCTCCCCAACAGACCACCGTGCCTGGCTGGGCTGTCCCTCCACCAGGGGCAATCCTTCCTCTGGGCTGGGACACTCTTCTGTGAAGCCAGGTCCCCCCCACCCGCCATCTCCTGCTGCCACCTGAGCCAGCTCTTGTGAAGGCAAGAGAAGGAGGTGCCCCAGAGTCTTCTGCATGAAGCCCAGCTAACACCCTCTCTTGACTCTTGTCACAGTGCTCCCCAAACAGCTGCAAAGGCAGGGGAAGCCCCTCATTAGGACACCTGAAGAGACACTAGGAGGACCTTTTGTTGCTTAAAAATCCCTCTGCCCATCACACCTCACCATCAGCCACCATCTCTTTGGTCATGAATCTGCCTTTGTAAACACAGTGGCCTCTGAAGGAACCACCACCACTCATGCTGGGCGCTGTGTGCTCATCTTCAGACGTCCAGCCTCAGGCAAGCACAGGCCAAGCCCTGAACAGATGCACCCAGAGGAGCCAGTTGGGGAAAGGATGTGCCAGTGGGTGCAAGCCCCTCCCCACTCTGGCCTGAGTGTCCCTATCTATAAATGCGGGGGGCAGTGGTGTCCAGGGTTTCTTCTAGATGCCACCTCCTTGACCCTGGCTGGCCCCAGGACTTGACATCACTCTGGATACACCCAGGTGTGGGCTCAACTCAACCCTCACAAATGCAGTGAAACGGTGACACCAGGTGACCTAGGTCCCCTTAGCCCTTTCCCCAAACCCTCCATGGATGACAGAGCCTGCTCCCTTTCCTGGTCACACCCTCCCACCTCCAATCAGGCAAGAAGGAGCTGGGGTCCTGTTTTTAAACAGTCAGGTTTAAAGACAAACTTCCAACCAACTCTTGTGTGGTGGGTGCAAGAAAAAGAGCCTCCCCGGCTGCATCTCCGGGCGCCCACAGAACACACAAGCAGCCTTTCCCAGGTAAGGGCCTGTGGCCCTTGGGGAGTTTAGGCTGAGCGTGGTCTGAAGTTCCTGACACAGTGAGCACTGTACCAGGAGTCCAGGGTAGGAAGTGCTTTCCAGCAGCTAACAGCTGACCTGTGTGGCTGCAGCCTAAGAAGGAACCAACCACAGGTAGGGGGGCCTTTGGATGGCTCAAGGTCAGCCAAGGCAGGGTACTGTTTGGGCCAGCCTCTCCCCTCCCCCTACTCCACACACAGGGCAGAATGACTGTGGATCAAACGGTCGTCTGTTTTATTATTTCCAGATCAAAGTTGTCGGAAATACATTCTCTTGTCAGCAAGTTTCAAAGGCCAGAAGAGAATCATCCGGATTCAGTTCCTCCTACACCAGCCCAATCCCCAAACCTCGGTTGGTGATGCTCAGGCTTCTTTTGCACATTTTTATAAAGGAAATCCTAATCCTGGACAAAGCTGGACACCTCTACAAGAATGTCCCTCTCCAATAAGGGCTTCCTCTCCCTCCATGTTAATGGGGTCAGGAGCACAGCTATGGAACCAGGGCGAAACGAAAGACCCTGGCCGGCTCCCAACATCTGACCCATGTTGCCCGCGAATGTGGTTTTTCCACCTAGTTCTGGAGACTGCTTCCCACTTTGTCGTTGGTCTAGAAGGGGCCAAACGACTGGGGTCGGGGGAGACTCTCCTCGCTCCGGCTCCGCCATCCTGATGCTCCCGGACCCAGCAAGTTGTGGATCCGGTCCAGACGGCTGTGCGGAGCCCCCTTGACAGCGCGAGGTTCGACCCATCCCGCCCCCTCCTCGGCTCGGGCGCGCCAGCTACTCACAAACTCGAAGATGAAGAGCAGGTAGGGGAAGGTGGTGAAGACTTTGATGTTGTCATCCATGTTGGCATGCTGGTGTCCGGCTCCGCGCTGACCGCTCGTTTGCTCCAGGGAGCCCAGTGGCTCGGGCGCCCCCGGTTTCCGCGCGCGGGTTAAGAGCAGCGAGGCCAGGGGCTGACGAGGGAGGAGCCCGGGCCGCCGCCCGCCCCGCTCCCAAGGGACCCGCCAGACTACCTCGGGCGCCGCCCTGAACCACGCGGAGGGCTCACGGCGGGCTTGCCCAGCTGGAGCGCGGGCCTGACTCCTGCGTCCCACCCCCGGGTGCCATCTCCCGTGGGGAGCAGGAAAAGCCGCTTTGACGAAGGGCTTCGCACGCTTTCCCTCTTCGCAGGGGATCAGGATCCCTTAAGAATGAGAACCATCACTAACTAGGCTCCAAACTCCCCACTGCGGCACCGCTCGGGTCACCATTACTTTAACTGTTCTTAAGCTGGGTCTCCCTCGTCTTTCCACTGGGTGCGTTAATATGGGCGACCTCCGCGTCCGGGATCGCGCTGAGACGAGATCCTCGTCCTGCCCGCAGCTGCAGGCTGGGGGTCTGCAGGGGCGTCGTTCAGACTAGCTCTGGCCACCACCCCTTCTCTTCCTGCCTTCAGAGCCAGCACCACGCCAGGAACCTTGCACACATAGTCTGCTCCACTCGGTGCTGGAGCTTCAGTCTGCCCCTGTGAGGGGAGGAGGCCTCTCTCAGCCCTGCCAGCCCCAGAGGAGGGCGGTGGAGGCGGCGCTGGGGCCGATCTGCATTGAATCCAAGGGACAGGAAGGGCCGCCTGGAGCAGATCCCTGCCCTTCTCTCAGAGTGGGGGGCCCTGCGTCTCTGCGGTGGGAGGACTCCCTCTCCCCGTGTCTTTCCACTACCCTCTGCTGTTTTTTTGTTTTCTGGACCACAATTTCTTTATTTTTTTACTTTATTTTTTAAACAAGTATCACACTCCAGGAGTTTGCCTTTTTAGTTTTTCTCCTACAGTCCTAAAGCTGAAAATCTGCCTGCAGTCCAGGGCAGCCCCAGCTCAGACTCCCCAGCACTTCTGAGGCTGCACCCACAGCCTCAGCAGGCACAGCCCCCTCTCCCCTGTGGGACCCTCACCCCTTCCCTCTGCACAGCTCTGTTTCCTTCCCAGTCCCTATGGAGAGAAGTAAGTTCCTGGACACATTTTCAAAAAAAGACCCATGCCATGAGCTGTCCATTCTGACCACGTACGGAGAGGGACCAAGCATTTGAAATGAGACCATCCCACTGCGCCTCTGTGAGCCTCCTCAGGGCTGCAGGTGTGGTGGCTGGAGACCCAGGGTGCTATTGTGCCAGGGCCCATTGGCCCCAACAGCTCCCCAGGGCAGGACCTGATGCCTGGATGAGACTTCCTGGGCACAAAGGGCTGTGAGATTGTCAGGGGCCCTCCCCGCAGCTCCTCATCCTCTGAGGGCATCATACACCATGTCAGCAGAGCCTGCTGGCCCTGGGAGGACATCTTCGTCCCGAGGAGACTCTTGTGGGGACAAGCCACAAGCCGCCCTCAAGCAAATCCATCCAAAGCTGTTTGGCAATTTCTCTGTCAGTATTCACCAATTAAAACACACAAAGATCTTCTCAACTCTTAATGACCTCTTCAGCTGGTCTTGGAGTTTTTCGTTTGTTTTTGGTTGGGTTTTTCTGCTGGCTGTTTCACACCTTTGATGCTAAATTCCTCAGCCTTGGGCCTGTGACTCTGGGGAGAAGGCGCAGCTCCCTGGTGCAGCCCAGTCAGGCTGATGGGCTCCAGCCTCCTTTGATGAGGCCCAAGAGCCACACAGGATTTAGGAGGGGCCCTTTCTCTGTGACCCTCATCTCACCTGCCATCTTTGCTTGATGGTCCTCTTCCTGACCACACTCTACCCTCTGCAGGGCAGCCCCACCCCGTCCCCATCCGCCTGTCTCCTTCCTGCCATATCACGTTCTCAGTGCCCACCAAGACCCCAGCCCATGCACGGTGCTCAGTAAGTACCCACCCTCTGCCGGGATGGACCCAGCCTTGTTGGTGCTTGACTGCCCGAGGAGGAAGCACAATGACTCTGTTTCAACGTAGAGTGTGGTCAGTAGAGACGGTCTGTCTGCATGTCACAGAGCTGCCCCAGGGTGCTCTGGGCCACGAGCCTATGATGCAGGGGGTTCATGTCCATAAGAAGACAGGACCACACTTTGGTCTCCAGCAGGACATGAGAAAACACGCTCAGCCCATAATGACTCACTGCAGGGTCCTCGGTCCTCCTAGCAGCCAAGTGGGTGTGAGCGTGGGGTCAGTCTGGGAGGATCTGGGGCTTCTGTCAAAATAACAACATGGCCCGGGGTGGGTTTCTACAAAGTAGGAACTAGAAAGTGACGATTGCTGTGCTAGCCTGAGGGTGGAAGAGGTCACCTCCAGCTGGTGTGTTGGGGGAGGGAATTGGGTGTGGGAGAAGGGACTAGGGGACCGGGACGTGTTCAAGGAAAGATTCATGGGGCAGGACTTGCCAGGAAATCATAGTAGGTGGGATTTACTTTTGGGGTCTGTGGAATGACCCCCATTTTACTGATGAGGTGATGGAGGCTCAGAAAGGTTAAGTCGCTGCCCAAGGCCACACAGCAGGTGAGTGGTGGAGCTCAGCCTTGAACCTGAGTGATGCTGCGCCTCCACAGGTGCAAGCCCCTGATCAAGACCGTACTTAATGGATGGATGGATGGAGGAGGAAGTCGTGGTATATACAGACAATGGAACATTATTCAGCCATAGAAAACAAGTAAATTCTATCATTTCTGACAATATGTATGGATCTTAAAGGCATTGTTACTATTATTATATTATATATACTATATTATATTATATTGTTATGTTATATTATATTATATTATTTTTATTATATTATTATCAAATGTCAGGCAGAGAAACACAAATACTCTATGATCTCATTTATATGTGGAATCTAAAAAAAAAACCAACAAAAATCCTACCAAACTCATAGAAAAAGAGATCAGACAGAGATGGGTGCTGGGAGGTGGGGGGATTGGAAGAAGGTCAAAAGGTACAAACTTCCAGTTCTAAGATGAATAAGTACCAGGGACGTAGTGTCCAGCACGGTGACTACAGCGAACACAGCTGTGTGAGATGCAGGAAAGTTGTTAAGAGAGTAGAGCCTAAGAGTTCTCATCACAAGGAGAACTTTCTTTTTCTTTTCTTTTTATTGTATCTGTATCAGATGATGGATGTTCAGTAACCTATTGTGGTAATCACTTCACATTTATATGTAAATCAAACCATCATGCTGTATGCCTGAGACATACAGTGATGTCGATTATTTCTCAGTAAAACTTGGAAAAATTCAAACAAAACAGAAATAAAAAAAAGAACTATGCTTAAGATGAATAATTGTGAATCAAATGCCATGTTGCAAGCAGACCATGGGCAGCCACCAAATCCAGTCTTCGTGCTCATCTCAAACGTGGCCCTGAGCATTGGCTCCCTGAGGCATCTCTGCCCAGCTCACAGGGCTCTGGACTTTTCCTCCCTGACTGGGAACACAAGGTTGGAGGTCATCACCCTCATTATGGACGGGGAGGCTGGATGAAGGCTGAGTTCAGAGAGCTGCCCTGGGCCAGCATTGACCCCAAGGGATTGTGTCTGTTTCACAGTCACCCGCAGCCCTGGATTCCCACTCCTAGCAGAAGCAACAAGGGCACCTGCTGGCCCAATGGACTAATGGAGTCCCAGCGGCGTTGACCCCAGGAGGTCAGAGAGGAGACAGCACTGCTGAGGGCCTACTAAGTGCCCGGCCCCACCATAGGCACTTTGCCCACATGACCTCATTAATTCCATGGAGCCTTTCTGACAGCTGTCACCCCACCCTGCAGGCTCAGATGGGGAGGGAACGTACCCAGGCCACATGGAGGACACCTGGCCCGCTGGACTCCAGAAGGTGGACTGTGGCCACTGCCTCGTTGCCTACTGCATAAAGTCCATACACTTGAAAACCAGGGTGGTGAGTGCTCGCTCACCAGAGAGCTGTGCTGTGATGGGCCGACGGGGCACCTGTGCCCTGTGGCCTCCAGTGACAATGAGCCACCACATGTAATCTTTTTCACTTGTTCCCACCCTCTTCCAGGCTCGTGTTTCCTAGTTCCAGGGAGATTGGCACTCCCCCACCGCCTGAGAGTCATCACCAAGCTCCAGATTCTGAGCACACAGCAGGGGCTGGCATTGTCTACGTGTCTCAGGGATAGGAACAGAGGGCGGAGGGTCTGCGAGTAGGGAAGACAGAGTCCCTGCTCCCTAGGTGAGTTCCCTCCCAAAGGGACAGCACACTCAGAGTCAATAGACCCCTGGGCTGGGGGCTGGCCCCGTGGCCGAGTGGTTAAGTTCGCGCGCTCCGCTGCAGGCGGCCCAGTGTTTCTTTGGTTCGAATCCTGGGCGTGGACATGGCACTGCTCGTCAGACCACGCTGAGGCAGCGTCCCACATGCCACAACTAGAAGAACCCACAACGAAGAATACACAACTATGTACCGGGGGGCTTTGGGGAGAAAAAGGAAAAAATAAAATCTTTAAAAAAAAAAAAATAGACCCCTGGGCTGGGCCTACACTGGGCACTTTCCCCGTCTCTGCAGGCCAGACGGTGAGAGGAGGCACACGGGCCAGTCATTCTGCAATCAGGCTGGGGTGGGGACAGACCCCTATTTCTGAGCACGTCTTGGGTGCTCTGAAGATGCAGCAGTAATAGAGGCCCTGCTCTCAGCGCCGCATCAGCACCAGGTCAGTGAGTGCCGGGCAGTAGGAGCAGGGTGGACGTGCTCCCTGCCTTTGTGAAGCTTCTCATGGGGGCAGGAGATGGGCACCATTCACACACCTGCGTCATAAATGTGTAACGAGGTTGCTGCTGGAAGGGAGCCCCAAGAGCATCCACCAGCACAGCCGGGCTTGGCCTGGGGGTTGGGGAGCTTGTGGGAGGAAGGGCCCCTTGAGTGAGTGAGCAGTTGTTAACCGGGGGGAGGGGGAGAGAGCTTCCCTACAGAGGAACAGCCTGTGCCAGGCCCCAGGCCATCTCCTGGAGGAGCATCAGGCACTGCTCCCCACACTGCAGGGCAACAATAATAAATAAGGAAATCCATCAGGAGAATCGGGGGCACATGGCGGGGCGGGGGTGGGGGGCGCAGGATGTAGAACGTGGACAGCCGCGGGGGTCCAGGGCAGAAGGAAGCAGGCATAGGCAGCGAGTTCTGGGAGAAGATGACAGGACTGATGCCCACAGGGCAGTGTGAGGAGGGCCTGTGCAGAGAAGAGGGAGGAGGGATGTGCCAGGCCAGGGAGCAGCATGGGTGAGTCCCAGAGGCCAGAGAGCCTTTGATCTCCGTGGGGAGCAGGGTGGCTCCTGGGGCAGAGCTGGAAAGGCCAAGGGCAGGCTGGGCTAAGGAGAAAGAGGCAAAATTCAAAGAACATAAGGCATCCATCAAGTTCAGTCATGTCCCGTGTTTGGCCCTGAGAGTGACGGAGCTCATTCTCTCTGCCCAGAGAGGGGTCAGACCCTGCACCTCTGAGTGAGAACTCACGACCTACCCAGTGAGTTTCACTGGGAATTTGGCCCAAGTTGCGGGAAACATCAAACCCACAGAACAGGGCTGGGCCAGTGGGTCCTCAGAATGCAGCCTCAGCAGGTTGGGGCTGGGCTGCCTGCTCCCCAGTTCAGCGCTTTCCTCCCAGGTTTCACCTACAGCCCCTGCAGAGCGCCTTTGCCACACAGCGAGCTTCTTAGACAGGGAAGCGGCCCCTGAGGGAGGATCAGAATCTAGCAGATGCCTCTTGGGACAGCCCTGGCCCCCACCTTTCACTCTCACACTCATCCTGCTACCTGGGCTTCCTCCAAAGGCCTCCCCATGGGAATGGACCCTCAGGATGACCAGGAACACACCTTCTAGAGAAACCACCTGCCCTGCAGTCACTGAGAGAGTGAGGGAACCTCTAACCTCCCACCTACCGTACCAGTGGGCCCTGTCAGCTATCTGTTCTTCTTGGCATTTCTGCTTTCTGTTGGAAAAAATACACTTACACTTAGAAAACAGAGCAAAGGAAATGGTACTGATGCCCGGATTCTTCCAAATCAAGGCAACTGTTTTCATCTCTGCCTATTATCTACTAGAACTCATGGAGAGGAGACTTGTTACCTCTCTGAGCTTCTATTTCCATGTAGTGACTTGTCCATTCATCCAGCTTCAAAGGCACCCTCTGAGTACCACGTCCAAGCTGTCTGAGCACAGGTAACCAGGCTGGAAAAGAAGGTGCATGTGGGATCCTCAGTGGTGGGGGTGAGGCCACTGTCCCTGCAAGCATTCCAAGGTGGGGGCCGTCAAGGCCCTTGCCAAGGCCAGTGTGAGGGCCTCTCTGGAGGAAAAGAGGGGAGTCCAGCAGGTGCCCATCTGTCTTAGTCCTCAGAATGCTTGGTCAGTGCCAAGAGCTTGGAACAACACCAAAAGAAACAGAAGTCCAAGCTCCAGCCCAGAGGTCTCTGAATTGATCTAGGGAGCAAGGAGACCTTGAACAGCCTGAGATCAGAGAATACAATGAAATCATAGAACTCAGCCAAGTAGAGGATGAAACTTGGTGCAGAGAAGAGCAGCATGTTCTCAGGGAGAGCAGGAGGGACTTTCAGATTCACCTCTCAGTGCCCAGTGCTTAGCACAGCGCCTGGTCCATGGGAGGGACATGAGTGTTTGCTGAAGGACAAGGAGAGAGAGTGGAGGAAGGGAGAGAAGGAAAGAAGGAAGGGAAATGAAGCATGCAGACAGGCTTCTGGAAAGCCAAGGAACCCTCAGACTCCACAGGGACTGCGTTCCATTGGTTCCTAAACTTGTGTGTCCTAAAGGAAGTGTGTCCTAAAGGAAAAGGCAGGAAAAGCTTTTGGCAGCTCTAGGTCTTGGTCTATGACTCAGAGCAGCCAAGCCCTTGGAAGGAAGAGAGGGGACCCGTGGCTGCCTCACCTGGATGACAGAGGAAGAAGCTCCAGAGAGGTCACCCCAGAGGTGGGCAGGAAACAGCCTGTCTGAAGAGGGTGGATGAAAACCACAGCCTGTGGGGAGGAGGGATGAATGCTCCTCTGACCAATTCAGCTGGTCTGGGACCAGTCCTGACTGTGTAGAGCTGCCCGTTGCATCATGGGAAATGATTCAGATCCCATCACCTCCCAAACCCAAGACTTCCCAGACCCCATCATTCTCCCAAACCATCACTTCCTAGACCTCATCACCTCTCAGATCCAACAACTCCCCTCAACCCCTTAATCCTCAGAGAGACCAGAATCCCGGCACTGTCAGGTTCTCTGAGACACGACATCCTCTCCCACCTCCCCCACCTCTGGTCAGTCACTCAGAGCAAGCAGGTCTGTGAGAAAAGACAGCTCATTCTCTAGAAAGCCTTGTGACCACATCCACTCAGGACAGAACAAGTCACCCAGACACACAAGGTCTGTGTCCATACTGTGGGATAGCACGTTAGTGCTCGAAAAGGGACAGTGGACATCTGTGTGCTGACACAGGAGGAGGGCCAGGAGAGCATCTTTTGGAAGTGAAAAGAGGAAGTTGCAGAGTAATACATAAAGCATAACCCATGTTTCTCTGTTAAGAAAATATACTTATAAATTCATAGGTGATTATCTAGAAGGACAGAAGCCACACTTTTCACAGTGGTTCCCTCTGGGGATGCAGATCTGTGGGTGACAGAGAGGTAGGGCTGAGGGTAGAAGAGAGACGTCACTTTCCCTTAAAGAGTAGACATAGAAGACAGAACTTGTAACTGGAAAACCCATTAAGGAAGGCACATCGGGCTCCACCTGCTGACCTGTGGACATCCCTCCGTTCTGCCATGCCAGCACTCCTGCATGCAGCAGAGCCGGCTGACTGGGGCAGTAGACCTTGGATCCCTGAGCTTCCCACATCTGGAAATGTCATTCTTCTTCCCCCTCCCCTCAATGGCCCCAACCTCTAAGATCCAGGCTAGAGGTGTGACTGTCAGAGCTGGTTGCACATCTGAGACCAGGGACAAGGGGGCCTGCCTCCCGGCCCCTGGAGGCCTAGCTGATGAACACCCCTAGCTCTTCGCTTGCTTGGGCTCCCTCAGTCATGGGCTGCTTCCCTCAGGAAGGAGCTCAGCATTCGGGCATCTTGTCATTCTGAACGTTCACTTCTGGCTTTCTCTTGTGAATATCACCTTCCAGAGAGACAGCTACACACAGGTCAGGGCTGCACCTCTAATGCTGTCACAGTTGTCACCCTCCCTCTGGCCCCATGTTGAATACACATCAGAGAGCTTGGACAGCCTCAGACCACAGAGAGTGAACTCAGGACCTGGGTTAAAAATCTCCCTTCTGCTGTTTACTCGCTGTGCAACTTCAGACAGATTACTTGATTTCTGTGCGTTGGTTTTCTCGTCTATAAAGTGGTAACAGCCGTCTCTCTCCCACAGGGCTGTTCAGGGGTCAAATGAGACAATGTGTGTCCAATGCCCTTTGCAGTGCCTGCTAGGAGGTAAACTTCAAATCGTGGAAGCTGGTGTTAACAAATGCTCACAAAATTCCCCCAGGACTCATCACTGTCACACCTGTCTGTGCCCTTTCACATATCTTCACTCTCAGAAGAAAAGTTTTCTCCCCTACTTAGATGCAGAATTCCATTACAGAACATTCTGGCTCTTGCTCACACACCTGTGTCCCACCTCATTTCCTGGTGGTCACCTCCCTGGCCCGAGGCTGTTGCTGTCCTTTCCTCTTTCAGCAAGTGGCAGTTTCTGTTCTGGTCACCACAGGAGCCACCAACCATGAATGCCTGTAACTCAGAAGATGGGAAGGCCATGGAGCCAGTCCTGCAGTCAGCAGCTGAGAGCTGAACCAGAGAATGACCTGTGTGAGAGGCCCCCCTGGAGCTCTTACACGGGGTCCTCATGGCCTCACAATACTAGGGAAGGAAAACCAATTCTAAAGGATCCAGGAACTTTCACAAGCAAATAGAATCTCAGCCCCAGTAGAAACCCACCCTTGGTTCCATGGTTCACCCCCATTACTCTCACTGTGCCATCAGCTGGTACCACATCATGACTTAGACAAGTTCTTTATGACAGGGGCCATGTCATTTAGGGCATCCTGTCTGAGAAGATATTGTTTAACATTTGGGCACTTGTGCCCAGGTTTTAGTTCGACAATCATGGGGTCCACTCAGATGGCTCAGGGATTTACCTCTGGTAATTCTATTATTTCCCTTTAAGTCTTTTGACTCAGTCCCTTTTGTCAGGAGTATCATCAGCTGGTGACCAAATGCTGTGGCGATATTTACCTTCACTTACCCTTTCAAATAAATGGAGGCTCCTAATTTATGCAGTAGGTCCCAACCCAGCAAAGGAATAGGGCATTTCAGCACATATAGAAAGGAATGGGTTAACTGTTTTTCACCTAATTTGTAGCTTGGACATTCAATAACCCACTTGTCCTCTGGGGCCTCTAGTACCCCAACTATATTACATCTCTGGCTAATAACTTTGGAGATGCATAGAAAGATATTTGTGGAAACTAGAAGAATTTAAGATCCAGTCCAGTTTACAGGTAGAAAACAAAAATCTAAAAGATAATTAACAGAACTAAAATCTAATATCCACATTTATGTATTATAGCTTCTACTGAAACATAATTTTTCTCTCTAAAATCCCTTAATTTTTACTAAAGATAGCCAAATTAGGACTAATTGGTGAGCAAAATGAGGCTAGTTTCAATAAACTTGGCCCAGTTATTCACATAAGTAAAGCAAGAATAGTATTTGATCATATAGGCTCTTTTAAATCTACTTTGCTGGAACTTCTCATAAGGAATCTCAAATTGAACTTTAAAGGCCTCTCAATGCCAACAAAGCCAAGGACTTGTCATCAGACTCTGCCTGTAAAGCCTATAGGTTTGGGTGAGTTCCTCTCTTCTGTTGAGGTTCCTCAAAATATCCTAAGGTTCCCTGCACCTGCCAGAGAAATGACCTTCTTTACTCACCTACTAAGTATGCTGAGAACCCTGTAAACAGGGTACCAGGCAAATATTTCCAGGTAGTTTCATTCCATAAAGTCAACTTTGTTCCTCAAAAATTGTCTTGTCATATCTGAGTCTGCATGTTTTTCTCAAATATGACATTCCAGTGAAAGTCTTGGCAATATAACCAATATTTCCAATTGTGTCCTGCTATAAGGAGAATAGATTCTTATTAAACATATGCAAATAACTATATTACCATGAAACAAGAATATTCACTCACTAAGAGTTTCCAAATTCTGGAGGGATCAGGTAGGGAGAAAAAGACAAATGTTTCAATTCTGCTTACAAAGGTATAATTTATCAAATTGCTATCAGTCATAGTTAGCTTAAGAGAAAAGAGAAAAATTTTCCTTAGACCTGAAACAAAACATTTAAAAAGTCAGCAATATTTCAAACAAAAAGTCATAAAAATTATAATCATCCTCATCAGTTCACTCAGTCCCATATAATCAAGTCTTGACCTTAATCTTTTGTTAGTAATTTCATCAAGTCATCAGTTTCTCAGAGTTCTGTAATTTTTTTACCCAGCTCACTTTTATGATATGAAAGTTTACCAGAAATCTGTATTCTAGAGTAAGTGTCAGAGTCTTTTCCATGAACCTCTCTAAAGATAAAAACATTTATAAAAGCAGAGCAAGACAAAACTGTCTGTAAATGACAAAAGACTTAAAAATGGCAATTGATGGGGCCAGCCCCATGGTTGAGTGGTTAAAGTTTTGTGCACTTCCCTTTGGCAGCCCAGGTTCATGGGTTCAGATCCTGGGTGTGGATCTGCTCCATTCATCAGCCATGCTGGGGAGGCATCCCACGTACAAAGTAGAGGAGGATTGGCACAGATGTTAGCTTAGGGCTAATCTTCCTCAAACAAAAAAAAAAAAAGAGGAAGATTGGCAATGGATGTTAGCTCAGGGAAAATATTCCTCACACACACACACAAATGGCAATTAACATAGAAATTTGGTTATTTCTGTAACATAGAACACTTTAAAATAATAACTAGAATTATGACTGATAATCAGGACAGATCAGAATTTTAAGAATGTTATATAATCTTTAAAACACTTATTACATCAATAATATTACCCACATAATATCATAGGCAGCTGTAAGAAAAACCGTAGCACCTGTGATTAAAGACCTGACAAAAACAATATAGGAAATTTATTTTGATGAAACATAAAATCCCTACCCTTCTGGTAGACTACTCAAAGAAAAAACCTTTTCTAATCTCTTTATCAAGAGCAGACTAAAAGTTCAAGAAAATTATCCTTTTGAGAAGGAAAAAAACAAATTCTAATTTTGCACGAGCTTACTTTTGATATTAAAACTTGTTTACTTAATTAAATTCATTTCAGTCTTAGCTAACTTAACCATGTACAAAACTCTTTTTTCAGAATTCCTCCTTCACAAGCCTTCTATAACTTTCTTTTTACATTCATAATTTGCCCCATGCCTTCTTTTTTACCTTCTAGTGATTTGGGACAAATTTATCTTTCTTAACAGAACAAAAACATTTTCATCCTTTATACCTTCTTTACTGAAAACATAAATTTTACTTTCCTTAAATACAAGAATGTTTCCCTTATTAACTTTAGTACCCTTAATCACATGTATTAACTAAAATTTTTAGTCTTTATAGACCTTAATTTTTAGTGAAAACTAAGAAGTAAGCAATTATGAACTGTCTCTTACATTAGCATTCTCTGGCTTGACAGATTTATAAATACTTTTTATAATTTCTAGAAACGTTACTTTATAGTACAATCTTTTAGTAAAGCACACCATGTTTTCTAATAGACCCAAAAACTTCTTAGTTTCTCTGTAATAGGACAAAAGTAGGTAAACTTAGATATGTTTAGCAATTACTGTTTCAGTATTTTATCTTATTTGGAAATGATCTAGATATTCAATGAACTTTTATCATTTAAATTAACCTAGAAAAACTTTAAAGTTTCAAGTTTCCAAAGAGATTTTGGAAGTTATTTTAAATACACATGTCATAAATTATAATTATTGCTAAAAGTTTATCTATAAACTCTTATCTCCCTTACATCTAGACAATCTGTTTGTAAAAATCATATTTAGGTTACTCACAAAAACTTTGTGTGATGCTAAAGCAGTTAGCCATCATTTTAAGTTGTTTTAAATATATACATCGCAACACATAATCATTGTTAAAAAGTTTCCCCAAAAACTTTTACTTTTTTTACATTTATTTAGTTTACCTGTTTCCAATAATTATTTAGATTGCCTATAAAACTTCATGAGACATTAGACAAAATTAGCTATCATTTTAAGTTATTATTATTGCTACCCAGATTTGCAATGAAGATAACATCAGCTTATTTGACCTATAAAGAATAAAGGCTGCATGTCTACATTGTATCCAATGCTGATAACTCTAAGGACATGTCCATTTTAATCAAACCAACAATCTTAAATAAGCTTTCATTTACCAAAGTTCAATTTTATCATGTTAACTTAAAAAACATTTGGGTTAGTTTCTATTACATTTAGAAATAATTCATGTAAGTGCTTACTTTAATCCAATTAAACAGAGCTCTTAATTTTGGCCATGCCATCCAGAGGTAGAAAAATATCTCACATAACACAAACACATACACATGAACAGACAGATGCAACAAAGATTTTATAGGCTGTTTTAAAATTTTTCCCCAGATTTTTGGTCAAGGGTGCTTTCATAGCAGTCTGTATCTCCAAAAATTTCTTTTCCCATTTTTTTCCTTTCTTTAAGTCTTAGGAATCTGGAATGATCTAGGTAATAGCTCCCAGACAGGTCACAAGTTTTTGAGATTAACAGGGGTAGTTAGTTACTTATCAAAGGATTGACAGGCTCATCCAATTACATTATCCTTAACTTGCTTATTTCCCTATGAGTACATAGCTTTGTCTTAATTTGGGGAAGAAGGCCTAAAAAGTTCCTACCAGGTTTTAAGTATCAGCTTATGGTTTGGCCAAATTTCTGATCATTAGTTACCAAATCTTGTCAAGTTTCAGGCGGGAAAAACACTAACTATTCTTGACAGCATTAAACAACTCTATTAATTTTTTTAATTTTAGTTTCCCCTTGACTTGTTTTTTCTTTTTCTTTTTTCTTCTTCTCCCCAAAGCCCCCCAGTACATAGCTGTATATTCTAGTTATAGAATATATTAGTTATAGGTCCTTCTGGCTCCACTATGTGGCATGTCACCTCAGCATGGTTTGATGAGTGGTGCTAGGTCTGCACCCAGGATCTCAACCAGCAAAACCCTGGGCCGTCGAAGGTGAACATGTGAACTTTATCACATGGCCACAGGGCTGGCCCTCCCCTTGACTTTTTAAGGATAGTGGTTTCCCAGAAAATCTATCAGAGTCTCATTAACCCTTGGAGGGGCTCATATTGTGTCCTCCCTCTAAGGTAGATTACAGGGGTGTCCTTAAAGCCATGACTTAAGTGGTATACTTCTTAAATGATCTTACCTAATTGGAATGTTCCTTGTGTGTGTGTGTGTGAGGAAGACTGACCCTGAGCTAACATCTGTTGCCAATCTTCCTCTTTTTGCTTGAAGAAGATTGTCGCTGAGCTAACATCTGTGCCAATCTTCCTCCACTTTATGTGGGATACTGCCACAGTGTGGCTTGATGAGCACTGCTAGGTCTGTACCTGGGATCTGAACCTGTGAACTCTGGGCCACCAAACCAGAGTGTGTGAACTTAACCACTGTGCCATTGGGTTGGCCCCCGACAACGTTCCTTTTAGTAGCCAACGTACAAGTTTTGGAGGCTCCAAGGAGCCCCAAAGTGGACACTGTAATTTTAAATTATCCTGGGTTATCTTGATCCAAAGATTCTTTTCTTTTGTGGTAAGGACCATTTATATAGCTGTTTTTGAAGTCAACTTGATCATTTTAAAGTGAGATCTCCTTTACCATGCTTAATTAACATTGCCTGAAGGGTG